ATTGGGGGTAACAAGCTTAAGTAAGTAAAGTAAGTAACTTAACCTCTTGAAATGATCTGTGAAACAAATTTACCAGAATACATCACTATTTTATCATTGTTAGAAATTGAAACAATCTGTCTACAAAATATGGGGTCATGGAGGTTGTTGAGTTTCACTGAAATCATAAAATTGATCAATGTTAGACCATTATTGAAAGCATAGAAGTGTGGTGCGAGCTACTTATAAGTAGTATATGACGTGAGTGTCAACGTAATGTCTGGCAGAAGAAGATGGGGGAAGATCAAGAAAGGAAGAGTTAGAAGAACACAATGGAATTTGTATGAAACGCATGAATAGTGAGTGACAATGGATTGATTTTTTGCAACAGAAACAGTCCAGTTCGATAATATGATGAACTGATATTTTGCAAATTAACGATTTACGATATGGTTTTCTAATTTTACTGAGTAACTGTAATTTTCGTTAAATACAATTCGGTTGCCCCACCTGTGTTCTCGTTCACTACAGAAGCACTGGATGGCCGTCTCGTTTTAGTATGTGACTCCTCATTAGTGCGTATCCACGACTCTGCAAGTAGGCATTAAACCCGGCACCCTTGGTCTATCACATGCAAACGCTTAACTTCCAGACCACTAAGCTAGGATCCAATGCGGATTAATTGAAGTCAGACATCAACAGGATTGGATGCTGGCTGACTCAATAGTCTAGAAACCAAGCATTTGCATGCGCGTCCACTTCAACTCTTACTTGCGGAGTCATGGATGCGGCGTACTACTAAATTGTAACAATCATCCAATGCTTCCACGTTCTCGATAGCAGTCTGTCACTGATCAATCTTAAAGGTTCAATATTTAAAAAAGGTGTAGATTCGTTTGTTTAAATTTTACTGCATATTTTTATCAATCTGACTTATCATCCATCATAAGAATAAATCAAACAAAAACAAGGATTAAATTATTTCTTTTTTCGATCGATAACTATGTGTGTATGCAGTTTTTCTCATGCAATAACATTTTCTGATAAATCAAACAATTCTTATTGCTGACATTCACATAGAAATCAATAATTTCAGCATAAACTGTTTATTGATTTTTGAACATTTCTATTATATAGAGGTGATTATTATTATTATTATTATTAGTATTTTGGAATAAAAGAAACGAAAATGAAAAGAGTGGCATTGTTTTCATACAATTCAATAAGTTATTATGAATAAAATAATTTTTCTTTTTTCATTTGTAACCATGAATCGATCAATGTTAGACCACCATTAGAAGAAACCTGGAAGCACTGAAAGACGGCCGTTTTGGTGGTCCTGGTATGGAACTCATCAGTGGCAGTGCGCATCTAACATTGATTGATTCATGGTTACAAATAAAACTTAACAACAACGCCGCAATGCAATTACATGTGTCCACTAGTGTGACTAGCTTGG